TGTGTGTGTGTGTGTGTGTGTGTGTGTGTGTGTGTGTTATTTATAAAAGATCTTTTAAAAAAATTCTAAAAGTGCTCTTATGGGGGGGATGCTTCAAATTCTTTTCTTTAACGCATACACTTTATAGACTTCTCTATCTTTAGCTGGCATGTTGGTATTTTGACAATTGCATCTTGTGTTTGTTCAGGCTCTTTGGTAGGCCTTTCAAAGGGAAATGTTGGAATTTTCCTTCAAAAGGGGAAAGAGGAGACACTTTCACCTTGCAGAAAGGATGTGTTCAGGTTTTAATTTTTTTTTTTTTTTTAGAGCCTGTTCCTGGCTCCATGCCCAGCAGTTCTATCAATGCAATCTAGCAGCTTGCCAGGTTTGTGTTGCTCTATTCCCCCCGAGACTTAAAGAAAATCTGGTCTTCCCATTTCGAAGACAGCCAAAGGATGAAATACTTTGATCCTTCAGAGCAACATTAGCGAAGGTCTCCTCCCAAGTACTAAATATGACAAAGCACACTTAATTTATTCATTCCTTGTATAAACACTGAATATTTTCTGTAAAAACTCAAAAAGATTTAGAAGAGACTTTCTATTAATTCCAAATAAACCGAGTCTTTTAATAAGACATCAGCATGGTGGGAATTCTAAAGCAGTTGAATGGGGCTGGAAAATCTGATTTTTCCTGAAAACTAGTTGTTATTGCTTATTTTTAATAGGTAAAGAGCATTAAAACTAAAGAACCTTTATTGAAATGTGCAAGGGGTGCTATAAACAAAGCACATTAATGTTCTGAGGACGGCCAAACTAACTTTCAATCTTGTATTTCAGGATTGATTTCCTACACAGAGTACCTCTTTTTGCTGACAATACTCACAAGTAAGTATTTTGATGGTGACTGTACTTTGCAATTTAAATAAATGTTAATCACCATTGTTAGCTCCTTTTTATTTGTATGATCCAGTTCAAAACTCAGCTGATAAAGATATGAACTTTAGAATAATAATTGATCACATGCACACTGAGAATTATAGAAAACCTCTTTATACCGGTCCTTTGAAAATAAAGACATTTTAAGCTTGCCTTTCCTTATTTTAATATCTAGGCAAGTTCATATTGTAATGGATCTCTCAGATATATAGGCCTCAAGTTGTTCAGTGCTTTAAAAGTCCAAATCTTACATTTCTCCCAAAAACGTCTTTTAATAGAAATATAATAAGTTCTTGAGGTCTGTCCTCTCTGTCATACTTTATACTAAAAGAAGCTTCTGGGTGCACTTCAAGGGTAACTCCTTGTTGCAATGATGTCTTGAGGGAGATGGGTGGTCTAGAAATGCAATCAATCAATCAATCAATAAGTGCAGCTTAGGCATGGATAATTATTGCCAAGTCAAGCCCAGCATACATTCAGTAAGTAAAGGTAAAGATAAAGGTTTCCCTTGCACATATGTCCTAGTCGTTCCCAACTCTTGGGGGCAGTGCTCATCTCCGTTTCAAAGCCGAAGAACCAGCACTGTCCGAAGATGTCTCCGTGGTCATGTAGCTGGCATGACTAAATGTCAGAGGCGCACGGAATGCTGTTACCTTCCCACCAAAGTGATCCTTATTTGTCTACTTGCATTTGAACATACTTTCGAACTGCTAGGTTGGCAGAAGCTAAGGCAAGTAACGGGAGCTCACTCCGTTAAGCAGCACTAGGGATTCGAACCACCAAACTGCCGACCTTTCTGGTCGACAAGCTCAGCATCTTAGCCACTGAGCTACTGCGTCCCTATACATGCAGTACTACTACACTAACATAATTTTTACAAAAGCAGTGTTTAACATTGCTTCCTTGTGGGGGTACACAAAAAATCTATGGAATCAATTATCACTTCTAGATGGTGAATTTCTTCTTTGGGGAACAATGCATACTTGTGTCCTGATTCCACTTTCGTATTAAGCAAGCCCTTGGTGGTTGGATTAAATTTCAAATGTATGTATCTGCATGGCCTCTTTCTGCCGCTTTTCTGTTTCTTGAAAAGACCTTCCCACGCCTGGAGAGAGTGCAAGAAAACGGGTTTAGGGAAGTCGGTGTTCAGATGCACAATTTTCCATTCCACCTGTTAGCACCTTCCCAGATTATGGGAATAGTTGGAAGAGAGTAAGCACCAGCTTCCTTCCAAATGGCTCAGAACAGTAATTCTCAGAATTGCTAGCAGTAATCTCCAAGTCGGTTGAGGAAAGATGAAGGCCGAAGCCTATTTAGAGTCCCAAGGTTTCATCTCTCTGGTTGAATAGCTTTTGGTCAGGTTTGCCTGTCTTGGCATCTGCCTCCCATGGAGATTTAAAGAAAAAAAATACGGGCTGTTACTCTTTTGATAAAATTAAATGTTACTTTTATGACCAACACCCAAATATAATTTCTGTTAACAGCCAATGCGAATATCTGATACTCTCATCCTAAAAATATTGTCTGCATAATTAAATGGAAGTGTGTGGGGCTTTTCTTTGAACCTCCCATATTTTATAAATACATACCATTAAAGCTGCCTCATATCAGATAAGAATGTCATCTGGTGAGCTGCACGAGCTGCTTTAGCTCCTATGCCTTCTGTGGGGCTGCCTCCTTATCAACCTGTTGCAACATATGGTTTGTTTCACTGCTTTATCGTTTTGCTTTATCCTCCAATAAACTAATGGGCCCCATATGCAGTGTTACTGACTCAAAATGTCGACTTAATAAAATTCAGTGGCCATCCTTAAATCAGTACGGCTTCTTGTTGTAAGGCCTAAGCAATAGACTGTAGATACCCTGTTTGTGAAATATGTATTGATATTCATGAATGTACTGAGAATTGCAGGGATTTTAGTTGAAAGTTTTAACTAAATTTTTTAAACTTAGTAGCTCCACTGCAATATGTATAATTCTAGAAGTGTGTATGTGTGTTTGTAAAAGTTTAAATGAACATTTCATTTTCCCTGAGGTCCTTTGTGTATTCTTAAGAGGATCTTAACGCTATCCCTGAAATAGCTGGGATCTCTTTCCCTTTTAATTGGTTTTGCTATCACATTGGCTCAGTTGAAACAATCTCTATTTGATTCTCTATTGGGGCTTCTTTTTAGTAACACAAACTCTAATTTAGGGCATTCCCATATTATGTATAGAATTTGTAATATGTATTCTTAAAAATAGCAATCAAATTGGGTAAAACTTTCATTTTGCAGTACTTGGTTTTGTAGATACTCAATATTCTCTGCTAGCAAATCTAGAAATGGTTTTACATCGACCTGTTTATGTGATAAATTTATATCCCATCTTTACTACATGAGCTTGAGATTGCATCCATAAACTTACATCCAATTTTTCCCACAAAAACACTCTCTGAGAGTAGGTTGGTATGAGAGTGTGTGAATGATCCCAAGTCACCCATTTAGGATAGCCTTGAACAAGAGTCTCCAGGTCCCAGTTAACTATTACACTACACAACTTTCTTATAAATCTGGAGGCATGTGTCCATTTATAGAGTATTAGACAGTATCACTTGTATGTAAAGGTTTTTTTTTTAACACATCTATTATTTATTGTAGAACCACAGACTGGATTTCATATTGCTTTTAAAATGTTGGATGCAGATGGCAATGAACAAGTAGAGAAAAAAGAATTCTTTAAGGTATGGTTTAAAACAATTGATCGGTTGCCCTTGACGGCTGGGGGTCATGGGATTTGAGTCCAAGCCGTTTGAAGGGCATCAGAGCCATACAGCTACTAAGCATTTCTTCCTCTGCTTTTGAAGTTCCCGAGTCTAAGTCATAAATATTATCTTAAAACTATAAACCAGAGCAAATTTTTACTGAGGTGTTAATAAATATATGTCAAACATGCCCTTCTATTTTTGTTATTATTATTGATGTGCAATTTTTAGTATTATGTTTGGAAGCAAAACAGTTACTTCAGTTTGTGTTCATCTCATATGCAAGTAAGATAATTCTCCGGATTTTCTAGTCCAGACTTCAACAATACATGGAAAGAGTACTCCCAAAAGTACAAGTAGGATTCAAAAGATCACATACCTAAGATCACATTATTTATTTATGTGTTTGTTTGTTTGTTAAATTTATTTGCCTCTTAAACCGTGGGGCTTACAATAATGAAAAGGAAGAAAAATGAAAGGAGCGTAAACAGAAGTAAAATAATGGAACAATTAAATAAACAATGACAAAGGAACAGAATGAGAATAATACATCAGTAAGATAAACAAAGAGATGGATGGTGGAGAACAGAGAGTGTGGGGCCATGAAGTCTGCCATAAATTTAGCAGCCACCTCCATCATGGAAATCCCCCATCTGGTCTCCAGGCCAACTGGCAGAGCCAGGTCTTTTGGCTCCTGCAGAAGGATAATGGTGGGGACAGATTTTATTTTAGAGGATAAGACATTCCAAAGGGCAGTTGCTACAACAGAAAAGGCTCTTCTTCGGGATCGTGATAATCAGAGTTCTTTGACCGATCACATAAAAAGTAGGCCCTCTCTTCTGGAACTAGTAGGACTGGGGCACTAGGGACATAACTAACATCCTATGGATAGAGCTGCTGTGGCATAGTGATTAGAGCGCAGTACTGCAGGCTACTTTTGCTGCTTGCCGACTGCCTGCTATTTGGCAGTTCGAATCTCACAAGGCTCAAGGTTGACTCAGCCTTCCATCCTTCGGAGGTGGGTAAAATGAGGACCCAGATTGTTGGGGGGCAATATGCTAACTCTGTAAACCGCTTAGATACGCCTGTGAAGCACTGAAGCCTCCAAAGTGGCCTCGATCAGGCTAGCTACGTATATAATAAATGTATTACTTGGAACCCTGATAGAAGCGGTATATAAATCTAATTGCTATAGCTATTGCTAATGAAAGGGGCAAGATTTGGGACTGTCCAAAGGGCAATTACGGAAAGCCCTTAAAAGTATGAGCATGCCAAGTAACATCATTTGCCTATTAAATTTATGTGATGAGTATCCATTTGAATGGAATATGGGTTAACTAAATGTTTCATATTAGAAAAAAGATATATCGGAGTTTTATGTCATCTTGTTTATTTAACATTGTATGCATAGTATATCATGACAAATGTCAGTATATCATGACAAATGTTGGAAAAAAATAGACATTTGAATTAAAATCGCTAGGAGAAACATCAGCAACCCCAGACAATTAGAAATGCGGGAGACGTAAGGAATCTCCTGGTGAAGGTGAGCAAAGAGTTTACTGCTCAGCATTGAGAAATGAACGCTAAGATGATATCGTCATTGCCATCCTACTGTAAACAAGTGGGGGAAAAGCTCAAGTAATAACAGACTTTATCTTCCTAATTGAGAAACTCAAATTGAGAATGATGGTAACTGTAGCCATGAAATAAAAAGACTTGGGAGAAGGACTGTGATAGATCTAGACAAAGTGCAGAGACTTCTCACTGACAGCAAAGCTATATATTGTCAGGGGCATTGTTTTCCCAGTTGTATCATGTGGGTAAGAAAGCAGGATCATCAGAAAAGCTGGTGGGGGTGGGACGTGGAAAGAATAACTTGCATAGCAAGAAGAACAAGTATTTCAATATTAGATGAAATAAAACAGATCTCACCAGAAGAACTAATAATGAACCTAAAACTTAAACATTTTGGACATATAATGTAAAGAATGAGACCTTGACTCTTGGAAAAATTGAAAACAATCAGAAAGAGGCTGACACAAGCCAAGGTTTTAATTTTTACTCTGGATGTTTTAAATTTATCTGTGTTTAAATTTGTCATGCAAACTGGTGAAAATTGATTTGAATTGCTGCAGGATATAAATGTGATAAATGAATAAAGCCCTAGATACTATAACACAACCATGATCTCACAAGAATTCAAAAAAAGCCTTTACTAACAGGAAATATGATGATATCCATCAGATCACAAAGAGCTGGAAGTAACTCAAAAGCTGAATAACAAAAACAAATTTAGGAAAATACTGCTTTTTCCAACCTAACCTGTCAGACTTTCTTTTAATATTGGATGGGAGGAATCAAAGGTACATTTTAAAGTTTATAAAGTACAGGTAGTCCTCAACATATGGCCACAATTGAGTCCAGAATTGCAGCCATAAGTTGCTGCAATTGTAACTCGAATCACCATGTGACTCAGTGATGGGTTGCAGGCGGTATGCCCCAGTACGGGCGTACTGGTGCCTGCCGGGAGCATTGGGTACCATTCTGGTATGGTGCTCTGAAGGACCCACCTGTCTACCCACCCTCCTTACCTGTATTTGAGCTCTTCAGCACATCCGTGCACATGCACGGAACGTATGGCACCTGCGCAATGCTTCGCCGAGCAGCTGGAGCGTCGCAGAGGCATCACGGAGCGTCGCAGAAGATAAGGACGCATGCACGCACTGGGAAGGTGTGCACGCACGCACGCATTCATGTGGTGGACACCGGGCCCCTTTGCACTGTACTGGTTGTAACGGGATCTGGAACCCACCACTGATGTGACTGGACAAATGGTTACAACCATTTTTACTGTGGTCATTAAGTGAATCACATAATCGTCAAATGAATCCAGTTTTCCCAATAGACATCTTTTATTAGAAATTTTTTAAAAAACGGTTGCAATTTGCAATGATGCGACTTCCAGGAAACTGCAGCCATTTGTAAATGCAATCCAGTTGCCAAGCATCCAAACTGCAATCAAATGAGTGCAGGGGCTATGCAACAGACGTAAGTGTAGGCATAGGCTATAAAACACTTTTTCTGAGGGTTGAAACTTCAAACTGTTGTTAGATGAACAGTTGTAAATCAAGGACTACCTGTAAGGAGAAATCATTTTTATCATTTAGAAAGAAGGTCATATGTTCCTTGTCTCACAATGATAAACCTAAGCACTTCTAAGCACCTTTAAATCCTGCACTTTCTGGTTCTAGCCTTGCCATTATCATAAATAATAAATTGTATATTCTTTTATTTTTGCTATCCATTTGAGGACCGGTGTTAACATCTTTGAAAGGTAGGGGGGCTTAGCAATGCTACACTGTACTCGGTTTCTTTTCACTCACATGATGAGAAATGTTTTACCCAAAAAAAAAAAAAAATCCTGTCAGAAGTCTGCTGGATGATACTTTGGAATTCAACGCTATAAAGCAAATGCAGCTTTTGATAGAAAATGTTTGAATCTAAAGCCTGTTTTTATTTTATAGACAGTCATGATTATTTAATCATTCTGTGTCAAAGAAAACACAGCTTTATATCAAAGACATATCAGTGTTTTGATTATTCAGAATGTCTAAAATGCACTATTTCACTAAGTTTTTAAAAGCTGCAATCTACAAAATGAGATCATTTTCATTCAGTAGTGACGGTTCTAATTTAGAGTTGATGTCCATGGTATCTAGTGAAGGCCTTTCCCACTGCTACTGCCTGAGAATCTTTATCTAGAAATGGCAGGGGTAGAATAATATTTCCTGCATGCACAGGAATGCGGCTTGCCAGTTAATTTTCCTAGTCAAATTGATAGTATTGTCCTATACTTCAGATAGGAAGAATAAGCAAAAGAGAAATTAGGCTTCATAAGACTGCTTAGTAAACTATCTGAAGAAAAAAATTGAACTGGAGAATTCTTGCCCTCATTTAACTTTGAGATAAACCTCTTAAATCAATGGTATATAAAAGCATTTATCTGATTTTACTTTTCTCTGAAGCTATGTTGCCCTGCTTAAACTTATATTTCTCCATGTATTTTAATATGTTTGAAATAAAGTCATTGTGCAACTAGTTCATCCCATCATATGCCTAATGCACACACTCCCACGTCTCCAAAGAATCATGATCTTCCATAAACAGTGTGGATTATGGATTGGTTCTCTGGGTTAAGGAAAATAATCAAGGCTGGGGAAAACACAAACAGATTATTCAAACTAAGGTTGAATTTATAATCTTTGGAAATGATGAGTGTAAAGCTAAATTTTGTGGGGTTAAAGCAGGGGTGAAATTCAGCAGGTTCTGAAAGGTTCTGGAGAACCGATAGTGGAAATTTTGAGTAGTTCGGAGAAACGGCAGATACCACCTCTGGCTGGCCTCAGAGTGGGGTGGGAATGGAGCTTTTCCAATATCCTTCCGCCAGGAGTGGGGTGGGAATGGAGCTTTTGCAGTATCCTTTCCCTGCCATGCCCACCAAGCCACGCCCACAGAACCGGTAGTAAAAGAAACTGGTTAAAAGAATTAATTTCAATGAGCGAGCAGGTCTTCCTGTGACCATATTCGTTCATGGAAAAAATAAAACATTCCTTCCTGCCTCTTCTCCTTCCATCAGTGTGATAGAAACTTCTATACTTGGGCTTCCTATCACACCTTACATTTGCTTTGTAATTCATGTATAATTTATACATTCTATGTTTGTTGAGTGTTCTTATACAAAAGATTTTCTATGTAGAGACTTTTGTAATAAATAAAGGAGGCCGCAATCTTTGCAACCTCATTAAATATTCTGTACATGCTGTGGGAATGTCCTGCCAACACTCAGAAAAATAGAAGATAATAAATACATTCTTTCGTTTTAGCTTCAGAAAATAATTGGAAAGCAAGATGAATTTAAAACAGCTTCAGGAGATGACATCCTGTCTCAGGTAGGTACCAGCCCAAGGAATATTCACATGAAATTTCTGATGCATCTATATAACTTTTTCTCTGTTGAAATATTTGTAATGTTTATATATTTACTTGGTCTATATAAATAGTAAATAAAGTAATGATTGACGTTTTTTCCTAAGAGACTTTTCTAATCTGAGGAAACTCAGAGCTATGGTGAAGGTTATATAATAAGGATAAAAGAGAGATTTATGGATCATCACCACAAAAAAAGACATGTTATGATAATGTCTATTAGGTATTAATGCCTAGGGCCGTGGAATCTCCTTAGGATAACATTTATTATGTTGTGGGTTTTTTTACTTTAATAAAATGTATTTCATTATTGACTTTTTCCTTAATTTAAAAACATGGTAAAACTGCTTGGTTTTCTGTTGCAATCAAAACTGGTTACAGGTTTTGTAACTGCAAAGCTAGGAGTTCAGCACCTTACAAGCTTCAATGTGTTTCTCCTCACAGATTTGCAAATTCCAGACATTTCTTTCCAAACCCCATCTCTGGGATCTGCATGAGACTTGCAAGTTGCCTAGTTCTTCATAGGGAGTGAGAGAGTCAAGGGGCAAATTGAATGCTATTAAATCTCAGCAAATTTTCAACCACCCAGCCTCCCCTGCTATGAAAAGGGGGCCACATTTACACTGTAAGGAAAGCTCTCACTTCTAGTATCCCTGTTATTTACATTATTAACTTGACTTCCTTATTTGCTAGATGTTGCATTCTACAAGGGTTTGTGCCAGTAGATAAATATTTCTGAGATCAGCAGCAAATAAAATTAAGGCTAACTCAGTCTTTGCTTAAGAATTGGCTTCCAGAAAAAGGACATGCAGTAACAACAACAACATCAAACCATCCTAGGAAATCAAATTAAAGGGAAAGGAAAAGACAACATTTCAGCTGGCCTTTCAGTAAATTTTATAACTAGATAGCCTGTGTCAACGTAGCAGATGTTTTGTGTTAGATACCAGAATCAGTTACAATGGTTTACACCAAGGTCCTCTGTACCGGCGGGAACAGAGATTCAACCTGATTGGTCAAAAGGTCTGACAGCTCCCTATAAAAGGGCTGCTGTCAGACTGAACCTTCGCTGGATTGTACATAGTTGTTTCAGAGTTAATAAAGAGCTGTTCCTGCCTAAGCCTGAGTGTGCCTTTCCTTTACCTGATCTAACACTGGCGACGAAGATGGGATTGGAAGGCAACTAGGCAAACAAAAAGAGCACAGCAATCTGGCAAGTAAATCCAGCCCAGAGCTCGGCGTGGCATCGAGCAGCCATCTTTGAGTGGCAAATTCAAACATGCTCAGGGACACAAGATGTCAATGCACCCCCCACCGACTCCGTACAACCAAGTCACAGAGCACTGGGAATCCTACATGCTGAGGTTTGTCTGCTTCCTCAAAGCCAACGGCCTCATGGGCCTTTCTGAAGGCTTGAAAAAGAACATGTTCCTGAGCTACTGCGTACAAGAGGTGTTTGAGACAGCGAAGGACTTGTCTGAGCCAACACCACTCCAATCGGTCGCTTGGTCGGTGCTACAACAGACGCTGAGGACACACTATGCTCCCAGACCATCTAAACATGTCTGAAGGAACGAATTCAACATTTGTAACCAGAAAGAGGGTGAATCCATCAATGAATACATTGCGGCACTCAGAAAGTCTGCAAGTTTAGAGATCTCGATGAACTGATACTTGACTGCATCATATGCGGTTTTCGAGACATTGGCCTGCAGAGGAGACTACTAGCGAAATCTAATCTGACGCTCCAAGTTGCCCTAGACGAAGCCAGGGCCACTGAGTCTGCCGTCAAATCGACGGAAACCCTGAAGCGCCAAAACAGTCCTAAAAGCGTGAAGAGTGCAGGCATGCATCGTGAGGCTACAGAACCTGAAGGCTCGGAGAGCGAAGATAACAGCTACTGCATGTGCAATGACCACACCAAGCCGGTGTGAAAATTCGAACCACGTTTCCTGCCTTGCGTCAGCTGTGGAGGAGACCATCTCAGAATACATTGCCGTTTCCATGACGCAATCTGCCAACACTGCGATCGAAAAGGGCACATTGCCAATGTATGCAGAAGCGATCACCCCGCTACAACCTGGAAGCCTAGAAGCCAACCTAACCACCAGCAGAGGCCCAACCAAGGGGCATGGCAGCCGCCACCACAGCGAACAGAAGGTGACACCAGAGTCACCTACCTCACCTCCATAGGCCAAGTCTGCACGAAGCGGCCAAAAAAGCTGAAATCACAGTCCTCTTCGAGGACTCTCCATGCAAAATGGAGATTGACACTGGGTCATCCTTGACCATAATACCTTGGGCAGCACTCAAGCAGGCTATCCCTAGCCTTAAGAAGCAGCATCTCCGGGTTCCTGACATCTGCCTTCGTGACTACCAGGGGAACTGAGTCCCCATCGTGGGCCAGGGCGCCTTCCAGTGAAATTCAAGACCTTCTGCGGTCAGCTACCAGTGACGGTAGTCAATGGAGACCTGCAGAGCCTCCTGGGGCTGGACTGGTTCAAAGCCTTGGGCCTAGAAGTGACCGGAATCAATGCCATACGAGACAGTTATCACCTCGTCAATCAACCTGACTCTACATTGGGGCATGCCGACACCTTGAGTCGATGCCCACTGCCTGAACTGCTTGCAGACCCTACCCTTGAGACGCCAGTCCTCCTCAGTGACTGCCTAGAGACTGGTCCTGTCTTGTCTAGTGATGTTGCCCGCCACTCTGCAAAAGACTCTACATTCAAACAGGTTTTGAACTGGGTGTGGAGCGGGTGGCCCAAGGGGCCTGTTGGGTCTGAATTTAAAATGTTTTACTGAAAACGTGATGAACTGTCTGTAATAAATGGTTGTTTACTGTGGGGGGACTGGGTCATTGTTCCACCCAAACTGTGCATTGCAGTATTAGAGGCTTTGCATGTAGGGCATCCTGGAATTGTCAAGATGAAGTCTTTGGCCAGGAGTTACATGTGGTGCCTAAGATGGAAAGGGAGATAGAAGAATGGGTGGCTACCTGCACACTGTGCCAGGAGTCCAGACCAGCTCCCCCAGAGGCGCCCGTTAAGGACTGGGAGTGACTTCAAGCACCATGGTCTAGGGTGCACATAGATTTCGCTGGCCCAGTTCACGGCCAGACTTTTATGGTAGTTGTGGACGCCTACTCAAAATGGCTAGAAGTAGTCCTGATGACCTCTACCATGGCAAAAGCAGTCATCAAGGCACTACGGAGACTTTTCTCCACTCATGGCCTGCCCGATGTCTTGGTCTCTGACAATGGGCCCCAATTTATGGCCATGCAGTTCGAGACCTACTTAGCAGCGCAGAGAATCAGACATGCCCTGGTCGCTCCATTCCATCCAGACTCCAATGGTCAGGCGGAGAGAATGGTGAGATCTGCAAAAGAGGTCCTATCCAGGATGGGCCCAGGAGATTGACAAACCCAGGTTGATCAATTCCTCCTCATACAGCACATCATGCCAAGTGCTACCATTGGAAGAAGCCTCTCTGAGCTTCTAATGGGTCGCCGGCTAAGGTCCAACTTAGACCAGCTACACCCAAACTACTCTGCCGCATTGCCCCCCCGATTCAACAAGCAAAATAAGGAACTTTAGCATAGGGGATTCAGTTTACGCCCACAACTACACTGGGGGAACTCTGTGGATTCCTGCCACAATGATAGGCATCACTGGACCTTGCTCTTACCTAGTAGAGCTTGGGGACGGTCAGAATTGAAGAAGGCACATTGACCAACTCCGTGGCTGCCTCTCCAACTCCAATCTTAAGCAACCAGAAGTAACTCCTGCACAAGTTACCCAAAAGGAGCACGAAGTCACTCCTTTCACAGACAACTCAAGCCCGAAGGTGCAGGGATACTCATCTATTAGTGTTGCAGGCCCGCAGCGAGCTCCGAGCGAACCGGCTCTAGAAGCTCCAGCCACGGCCTGTGAAAAGTTCCAGGAGCTTCCACCAGGTGAAGCCACAGAGTCAACAGGTCAGTCTGACCTGACTGAAGAATGCCCACCAACTGAACTGTGCAGGCCTCGGCAAGCCACCAGAAAGCCCCCCTACCTGGGTGACTACATCACAAGTCAGTTGAGCCCATCTAAGAGGGGAGGGGTGTTAGATACCAGAATCAGTTACAATGGTTTACACCAAGGTCCTCTGTTCCAGCAGGAACAGAGATTCAATCTGATTGGGTCTGACAGCTCCCTATAAAAGGGCTGCTGTCAGACTGAACCTTCGCTGGATTGTACATAGTTGTTTCAGAGTTAATAAAGAGCTGTTCCTGCCTAAGCCTGAGTGTGCCTTTCCTTTACCCGATCTAACATTTTGCAAAAGTACAAATATTTTCACTAGTCAACAGGGTTCCCCCCATGTGTTGTAGCATATTATATTTAATTTATTAATTGCATCATTGCGAGATGTAGCATGTTAATACTGAACTTAATGATAAATACAGCATGCACAATGAGCTATTTTAAGCAGGGGTGACTTCAAAAATTTCAGCAATGGGTTCTCTGCCTGGTTTCTGGGTGTGCGTGGCCATGGTGGATTTGGCCTAGTCGGCCTCCTGCACCAGAAGAGGGGGGCGTTTTCACCTTCCCCAGGCTCCAGAGGCTTTCCTTTCCCACCCCCCGGAGCCTCTGTGTGGGTCCTGTACTTACCTTATATCCAAAATGGGCTGCACGGAGACTCCGGGGGGGGCAGGGGTAGAGGGCAACCAGGGGTGGGATTTGGAGGTTCTCCGAACTGGCCATAATGCTAGCTACGGGTTATCCCAAACCCAGGCGAACCTGTAGCAGCCCACCCCTGATTTTAAGTGACCTAAACGTGGCCCATTTTACTTAGTTTAGTGGAAAGTAACATCGAACAAATGAGTGCTATCCCATTTCCCATAAAGTGTGTTGTTACTTGTGCAATAAGCATGATACACATCGAACTAATACAACTTGTAGACAATCCAAATAACCACTAGAATTTGAATCCATGAATAGATCTCTGTCTCATCTTTCTTTTTCAGCAGAAGACAACACAGAGGTCATGTAGATGTCATAAGGAGAGTACTGTTGAAATCCCTGTAGATTCCATGATGCTTAGTGTGTTGTTGTGTTCAAAGAAATGCCACTTAGTCTAAGTGATGAAAGAAAACTATAGTATGCAAATCCCTCACTTTGCATAGTTTCAACCTTCTGGGGAAAAATGAAATAACTGAAATATAGCAATACATTCCTTGATTTCTCTGAAGCATTTTTACTAAGGGGGAACATCAACTACATATGAATTATTTATTTCTCTTGAATGAGAAATAGATGTATTCATGTATCTATTTAGGTTCAGATTTTGGCATATCTAACTGCACAGGTAAATTTTGATATATGAATTTAGAACTCTATCTTTTACATTTTTCTAAAATAAGTCTAGTTTTTCCAGACAGAGATAAATACTTACTGGAATCAGTACTATTTATATACTTTTATATATTATATATTTATATACTATTTATATATATTCACTTGCAAGTATCACAACAAATATTTTAAGAGTTCATTTTTTTAAAAAAAAATCATAGAAGCCTGGAGTACATTTTAAAAAGTTGCATTAATAACTGACAAAATATTTGTTGTAATGATTCATTTGAATTTTTTTTCTTCACCGTTAAGAATAGAAAAAATATTTTAAAGTAGCTGCAGTTGTCATACAATGCTTCCTTATGTGAATGTTTCTTTTTCAGAATCAGACTTGACTAACTCCTAATAGAACACTTCTTGAAACCTGTGTGGTCAATATTAAAAACTAATAATATCTTTTTTCATATACCCATTGGAAATGGGGCTAAAATATTCTGATATTTCCTTTGAAATTGTCCGTGGGAACTGCAAACATGTCCATATAGCAAAACCCTATGTTATAAACGAGAAAGCAATTTGTAACACCAAGATAGACTTTGGGAAAGTTATTATTTGAAGTCTGATCAAATTGAGAGTTACCATATTTTAATAATAAATTCCTTCATTTCTGCGAAGGCCTCTTCCTTCATTTAAAGTTCATCCTGGATTTTAGTTTGCATTGTTCAGGGTATATAATTACATCTTTTGCTTCAGTTATTTATGACAGGATTACAAAAGTACAAATCCATCAAATATTAACTCCTGATTTGTTTTTAACAAATTTCTTGCAGGAATCAGAAATGGAAGGTGCTGATATCAACACCATGTTACTGGTCCACTTTTTTGGAAAAGGAGGAAAAGATAAACTTCAGTATTCGGAATTCCAAAGGTAGTGCTATAAAATCTTTGAATTGGGCGTACATATTTAAAACAGTTAAACCTGGATAAGGATTATGATCAACTGGCTTATGAGGCCAAAACAGAATATGGGTTTAGTACTCTTTTAAAATTTGTCAGTTAACCCAATACTTCTGAAGGCAAAGGGGAACCAGGGTTTAATAATTTAAGCTCTCAAAGCCTGAACATCTAAGTCCACTTTTCTGGTTTGCATTGAGATTTTTCATAAATCAGCCAGGTTGGCCACACAGGGCAAAAAAAAAGATGATAAACTGGGTTCATGATAAGGTTGCTTTTAATTAACATCAACTACAGTTGCTCCTGAAGGACGTGGTGGCTCAGGGGCTAAGACACTGAGCTTGTTGATCAGAAGGTCAGCAGTTTGGCGGTTCAAATCCCTAGTGCCGCGTAATAGAGTGAACTCTCATTACTTGTCCCAGCTTCTGCCAACATAGCAGTTCGAAAGCATGTAAAAATGCAAGTAGAAAAATAGGGACCACCTTTGGTG